CCCCAAAACCCCAAAACCCCAAAACCCCATTAGTCTGAATATATTTATATTGATTGTTAAAAGAATTAAATTTTTATTTTATTAAGGTGAGATCTTCATGAATTATCAGCAATCTTCAACAATCGGTTCTAGATCAAACTTTCTTAAGTTGACTTCATTAAAAACTTTAATCAATTTTCCATAGATCTATGGAGTTACTGTCTATTTCAAGTTTGTCTTTTCAGTATGAAGCTAGATAGGAATCTGAGATAAACTTTGATTACTAGATTGGCGGCTCATTCTATTAGTATGATTAGTATCTTCTAAAGTAATATTGCTAGAATTGTTAAAATATTTGTCTTTTGATTTGTTAACTATTGTCTAATTAGCTCTTGATTTTTCAGTATTTTTAACAAACAAAGATGATTTAATCTTTGGCTTTTAAGGGATATTGCTTTTATTCAATGTATTAGATAAGGATTTGTTTATGCTAGATGACTATTTGCATATTAGAGGAGATTTTTATATTTTATCCTTACTCTTTGACTCATTCCGCAATCCATTGCTAGATGTGTTTACAGAATTCTATGAAATGTTGGAATTTCTTTTGAATAAATTCTAGGTTTGAACCTTCTTCGAGGAATTAGCAATTTATAAGAAAGACTTAAGACTAGACTTTTTCTCTGTAAGATTAGGTTTCTCTTAATATTTTGGCTTAATTTCTACGCTTGAATTCTAAGTTGATTTTTTATCGACTTTTATATAATCATGTTACTGAGTTTCAGTTTCCTCACCTAAAATATTCTAAGGTTTCAATCGTTAAAATAGAGAAGTGACCTGAGGTGATGTTCTAGAAGATTAAATGGGAGTACTATTTTATGTTATACTTGTTGAAGACTATTTAGTTCCATTAAGAGTAGATTCATAACCAGATCTGTTTGTTGACATGCAGCCTTTTTCCTAATTAAAGATTTCAACATTTCTCGCATTATTAAAGACACTCATAAATAGCTGATTTTCAACAACAAATCTTTCACTCTACTAGCTCAATTTTTCTGGACTCTAAGGTTATGGAGTTCTTGTTGAATTAATCTTATTAGAAAGTTCTGTGTAATTAATAATCTATGGTTCTTCTTAAGGTTACTACCTTGCATTCACATCCTTATTAATAAATTTAGGATTCTTGTTGATTTTAACCGTAGTTAAATTAATGCTATTTCTTCTTTGTTAGCTCAATTTTTCCAATGTCGAAAGCTTATCATATTAAATCTATGAATATAATTTTTAATTTGGGTATTTTCCTGCTGAAAACTCAGTTCTTTTTTTAAATGGGCTTTGATATTAGCTTGTCTCATATTTAACTACAGTTTCTGTATTTTTATACTTTCCATTGCTATTAAGTAGCTTCACATGATTATTCTTAACTTGACTATTACTATGCTCTGTGGTCTTCTATCCACCAATTGTAGATTACCTTTTATTTCCCTAGGATATTTGAGTGTTGTTTAATGACGCTTTTGGCTTCTTTTATTAGTTATCTATGACCTCTTTTATGTTTTCTGCAAGTGAGATTCTTTTGACATCTTAAAAATAGCTACTTTTGCAAGCTGAATTGTCAAAGTCAGGCTTCCTATTTTGACTATGATTAGAGGATTTTTTAGACAGTTTATTTAGATGAGACTAAGATCTACTTTGCTGAAGTTAATTACTTAGTGATTTATAGTTGTTTTCGACCATATATTTTTCATTTACATCATGCATGTCTTAGTAGTATGGAAAATCATTTGTATTTTAAGAAACATTAACACTGTGTAGACTTGACTTCTTTGAATGAAATTTACGCTCATTTAAAACCTTATTGTAATTTTTTAATAATGATTTAGGCTTATCAACTCTTGAATTAAACTTTTCCACAGCTGGATACTAAAATAATTTAGTCTTATTTAAGCTTTTGTTAGGTGATTTGTTTGCGACTGAGTTAAATCCTTTTTAATTAGAAGAAGGTCTACTTTATTTTTAAGTGTGATCGATTGATTATCTTTACTTTCTTATACTCGCTACACTCTCATTAGTTTCATATATGTTAGGGAATCTAAAATTATTATTTCCACCAAATGAAGGGGAATCTAGTTTAGTTTCCTTCTTTTCGGCTGATACTTAAACAATTTGAATAGGTGATTCTTATGAGAAGTTTTGCGTTTCAAATTTTATATCACTGACTTTTGTCTAAGTATTTTATTTTTGATTTGATCTAAATGGAAAGTCGATGGATTAATTGTAATTGCTTTCTTCAGAGAGTCTATCCGTTTGAACATTATCAATCAACTTGATGCATTAATTAATTCTAGTATTTAAATCCCTATCTCCTGATTAGTGCCCGTGATTAATGAATCTTGGAAAATAATCATCAATCTCCTCTTGATTATTATAATATCGAACCTTTTGAGATGAAACCATATCTAAAGGTAGAAATTCACTTTGAATTTATGGATTTTCAAACATCAACTCAATTGCTTCTGTGTCTAATCTTTGATAATCTTGATTCATATTTTTAGAATTGATAGATTAAACATGATCAGCTTTCATGTCTTATTTTATATCATTTTTTATGCTCTTGCTCTCTTATTTTTAGCATGAATTGAACATATTAGAGTTAACTGGAGAATTGTGAACTGTATTAATTTAGGTATTGTTAAAACTAGGAGGCTACCAAATTTATCTATTTATTGGTATATATTATGATTCATCAATGATTCCATTTGACATGTATCTTGAATGTCTTGATATTTTAGATTAATGAGCTGTAACTTAATTATTAAAAGACTGGTTATTTGAATTAGGATTGCTCACAAACTTTTTAGACTCTGCACAGAAACTAGGGTCTTCAGTTTAGATCAATGATGAATCCATGGATGATTTCTAGTTTCTTATTTTTTCAAATAACTATTTACCATCATTTTTAAACGTAAATTCCTTAACAAGAGGAAAATCCTATTTATCCATCTTTTGTTTTATTCTATGCTCTTCTTTTTTCATCATTTCTAAATCTTTTCTTAAGTTCTCAATTTCTATCTCATAATGTCTTTGTATTTCAAACACAGATGAGTTTCGCTTTTTATTAAGATTCTCATTATAATCGTCAGCCTTTATTTAATTTGTGATTTCATAAGGATCCTCTCGCTATTAATTATGGAATTAAATTTCTCTTGAGTCATCATAATCATCTTTAGACAGAGTTAAATCATTCAGAATATTTTGATCTGAATCTTGCAGTATATTCAAGCCTGTAATATTTTAATCATTCTGAATATTGGAGCTATTCAAGTAAAGTCGGAGTCTCTCCTCATTATTTTCATAAGATTTTTCTAAATCTTTTAAAGAGAATCTCCTATAATCCTCTGTATCTCTTTAGAATTAGCCATCAAGCTTATTTTAAAATGTAGCTTAGTTTATAAGACTTAGTCTAAGTTCTATTGATTCTCCATTTTAACAAAGACTGTTATCAGTTGGCATCTGTCGATTGTTAGCATCAAAGTAATAAAGCTGTTATGAGCCTTCAAAGTTATTCATTTGCATCTAATCCTGAGTTCTCTGAAAGGTTCCTCCTCTAGCAACACTTTAATTTGTTGAGCATATTAGTGGTTTCAAGGGTTCGGCGCAAGGAAGAGGAATTTCCGGATAAGGAGTTATATTGTCAGGATCACTCATTAAATTATTCATTATCAAAGATTCTTGAGGGAACTATTAGATTATGATCTCAGGAGAAAATTCTCTTGAACCAGTTATTTCTGGTATTACTTAATTATTATCATTAAATTTCTAAGGTGAACCCATTTTGTATTCTTATTTATCTATAGGATTTTCAGGCTAATTATTCATATAAAGAGCCTTCTTAAGTTTCAAGATTTCCTATCTGAGCATGATATTTTCTTGTCGAAGTCTTAGGTCAATGTTTGACCTGTCAGAGTCTGCAGCAACACTCTTCTTAGATGACTAATTGATATCTTAATTATAGCCATACTCATAATCACCTCGTGATCTTCCTTGTTTTGTTTTATTGAGAGTTTTGGCAGACCCTGCTACCCATTCGTTTGTCATAAACATTGATTGATCATTCTAGCTATTTAAAAAGTTGCCATTTCTCTGCTAAGGAACCTTTAGTTTAGTATCCAATGAATCAAGATTTATTTATATTTATTTGCTTTTCTTAACTAGAAGCACAGAGTTTTCATCATAATTTATAGATATACTGTTAGAATTATCGAGGGTAAAATCAAGACTCTCATCCTAGTTAGGATAGTTTTGTTATTAAAGATCACTTATCATGTTGACCTTAATTAAAGCTGATTTGCACTCTTTTTTCTAATTACTTTGAGCTTGTATCAGTGATGACCTTTTTGATTGAGTTACCTTGGAATTAGAAGTTAGATTACTATTATTTAGAGAATTGTACTGTGAAGTGTGCAGTATTTGTGGCTCGTTTACTGAATTATTATGAGATTGTTGATAGTTAGTTATGTTTGCCAACATTATCAAATCGTTAATTTATAATTCAAAGATTATACTGTTATAATTTTTTTAACTTTGTTAATTTTATTTGATTAGATTAAACACATTAAAATTTATTCCAAGCTAATATAAATAATTAATCTCAAAAATTAACTTAGAAATGGTAACCATTATTGTCAATTGCATCAAATTTTATATCTTACCTGTTTTTAATGTAGTAGTAAAATAATCAGAATTACGAAGATGAGAATCAATCACCCATGAGAGAAGGAGAACAATACGATTCATACAATGACCAGTAATAAAATAATGATAGTCCAGGCCAAGACGATGAACAATATGAGGGTTAAGGGTCACAAGATGGATAGGGAGGTGATACCGCCACCAAGAAACTTGTGGGATCTAGACAGGCAAGGAAGAAGGCAGAGGAAGATGTATAGTTACTGTAAAATAGAATTTAATTACTCAAAATGGAAGAGAAAAAGGTATGCATTCTAATAATGATAAAATAACCTATATCTTTATTTAGGCATGGAAGAAAATTGAAGAGACAAAAAAGAAAGCCAAGGAGATCATGCATGTGAAGAATCGTAATCAAGAACAAACTAAGTTTAAAGAATTAAGAGCTTAAGAGAAAGAACTAGAGGAGCGATTGATGGCTGAGAGAAACTAGAACATGAAAAATCAAATAAAGGAAACAATTCAATTGACAAAGTAGCAACAGTAAAAAAAGGTACAAGAGGATGCAGAAAGACTAAAAATTGAGAAAAGAGAACAGCTATAGCTTCTAGAGATGTAAAAGTAATAAGAGTAGCTTAAAAACGCAAATATGAAGCAAATGATTAAGATTTAAGAACAGGAAGTAGAGGAGAAAAAGCGAAGAGATTATGCAGAAAAGAAAGCTAAAACAAGACAAGAACTATAGCAAAAAATTATTGCTGAAAATCAAAGAAGATTGCAAATTGAGGTAATTTATAATATTGTTTTATATAACTTGCTAGTCTGAGGTAGCTAAAATGGAATAAGAAGAGTTGGAACTAATTTAAAAATTGTAGAATACATAAATTCTATAGAAAGCTGCTTATGAGGATCTAGAAGGAGCACTAAATGGGCAGATGTCCCCTGATTAATTTATGCAATCGAATACTGGCAGAGATTTTAGTCCTGTAAAGAATTTCGGCAGCGATCAAAAAGGCATTAGACCACAGACATCAGGAGGCTCATCAGCTCAATAGTAGTGAATAGTTTGATAACTCTATAAAAGCTGATTCAATAGATAGTGAATATATATTATGCAATTGGATGAAAGCATTGTTCTTTTTTGTTATTTAAGATTAATAATACGTTTTATTATTTATTTAGTTCAATAAAAATGAATAAGAGTTATGTTGAAAATTAATCTATGAGTCAGCTTGAAAAATATAAATCTGAAAGGCCTAATCAAAGTGTTCTTACTCATAGTCATGGTCGTGAAAATTCTCTGCCTACTCTTAATAAATAAGATGTTCATACTAAGCCAAGTAATTGAACAAATATTACAAAGGAAATTCTGAACTTGACTGAAATTCCAATTGATAAGTATAATGGTAATTTTTATCATTTAAAATATTAGCATATGATTCCCCTGGAAAAACTATGCAGAATAATATCAGATCAATGACTCAAATTAAGTAAAGGCCTGGTATTGGAGATGATATGGAAAGAGCTTTATCTGAAAAATTAGTCATGCTTAGTGGGATTTCGAAGATAGTTAATGTGCAGCAAGATGGAGGGTCAACAATAAATTCAACAGGAAAGAGAAGAGTTCATTAGGATGGAGTTTACATGCTTGACAGCCACTTAGGCATGAAAGATTCTCATAATAAAGTATACACTTTTGTAATCGTTGATAATTTTCAGATGACTATAATGGAGAACAGAATAAAACGATTAATGTTTGAGGAGGAGAGAGCAAGGAAGTTATAAAATTTAGCAAAATAGAAAGCTGACTAAATGCTAGAAGCAAGAGATAGGCATCAAAAGGTAGTTAAATATTTTCTTAAATATTTCTAGGAACTATTCGATAAATTCAAGTATTACGATGATAGAATGATGACTATTCAATAACAAAGAGAAAAAAATTTATAAGATAAATACATCAGAAAAGATAATATAAATAAAGTTAAGGAAGATTTATATACTCGAAACCATAGTAATAAGAGGGAAATACATGAAATAAAATAAATAATAGTGGAACAAAGGTCTAAGTTTCAAGAAGAGGACATGAGCATAAAGAAGTAGAAGAAGTTTGACATATTAAATCATAAAAATGTGCACTTATCAAAAAAGATTAATAACCTTGAACAGCATCACAACTAGCTCAAACAAAAATATAGTTCTAAGCTGATGGAGAAATAAATCTCAGCGGATGAGGCTAATGAAAAAATAAAAAGATATGAATAGGTTGAAATGGCTTTAATAGAAAGATTGAAAAACACTCATTCAAAACAACAGCTAGCATATAAAGATCTTGAGAAGATTGTTCATGACGGGTATGGCTATTATCTAAATAGTTTTAAAGAAAAGAGAGAGAAGCATGCAAAAGTATACTAAAACCAATCTCTCAATTCTCGGAATGAAAATACTGCTTCAACTTCTTATTTAACTGCTCCTACTACAAATAACTCCAGATTAAATACTGACTTAACTCCAAACATATCAATATCGTAATAGTAAATATAATTATGAGAATTTTAAATTAATTTCTGCTCAGTAAAAATATTTTGTTTGACTTGTGTAAACTAATCTGCTTTTTCGGGGTTTTGGGGTTTTGGGGTTTTGGGGTTTTGGGG